TACATCCTATGAGCCCACATCTACTCTCTTCTCTTGCTCAATAATTAGTTATGCAACTCCAAGAAATATGCTATTAATTCCTGAATTTCCAAGCTCAGTTCCTGCAGTTTAGACTTCTTGCCCATTTCTCTTTCCTCCTTTTATAGTTCCTGGGGTTCTCCATCCCAGGAAGGGGAAAGGCAATGCTGGAGATGCTTCATTTCCCTTCTATTTCTCACAGGTCTTGTGATGAGAAATGGAGGATAGAGGGGAAACAGGTCACAGGTTGAGCTTGTTTTCAATGATTGATGGCTGGAATGAAACATTTTGCGTGACCTTCTCTACAAAACAGACCCAAGGGCTTCCCTACAATAATTCCTGTTCAGATTATTGCTTTTCTTTGAGTAAAACTGCCAAGTTTATTTTAACCACTTCCAGTGACAAGAATCTACTTCCACTCCAACTAAATTGTTCCAGCAGTTAATTTCTGCTCTCTGTTGAAACAGCTTGCTTTATTTCCAAGGCAGGTTGTCTAGATAGATGTGTGTAAGAGCTCAGTTCCAAAGTTTTGCTTGAAATGCAGATTGTCCCATATTGCACCTGTCTGAGCCCTTCTCTTTGCTCTAGAGGAGATCTTCAGCTTTTGGAAACTCTTGCTGTGAAATGCATTTTCCAATCCTCAGTCATTTATGGGAATTCTTTTCTGAAGTCCATTAATCTATTAATGTTCTTCTTGTGCTGTACACCTGAGGCCAGGACACTTTTAAAACATGACCAGTTAAGGAGTTTGTCCTCAACATCCAGAGTTCCCACACAAGGATTCCTCTAGCACTTTCACTAAAATCTCCTTTTGTTTAGTTTTCTGTTTTGGCCACTCTGCAGAGTCACTGCTTCTGACATCTCCTTGAACCTGTGTTGCTGCCCTTCAAAATCTGTGCCCTCATGCATAATTTTACTTTTGGCTGTCCTGAAGTTCATATTAAAAATTGTTTCCTTGTGTGCAGCTTGCCAAGAATGTCAATTGTTCCTTTTCATGGACCTGATTTCTTCATTATTGACCACTCCACCAGTTTGCGTGATTTTACTTCTGTCCCTACTCTCAGGGCTATTCATGCATTTCACACTAGATGAAATACATAACAGGAACAGGAGCAAAGATTATTCTGTCCCGCCTGAGCTCCTGAACCACGGAGCTAAGTCACATTTCTTAGATTTACTTCAATTTTGTCTGCTTCGTGGAGATAAGAGGGCTATGGAGGAAGCCTGTGGCTCGTATATCCTAACGAGCAAGTGCCAAATTTGCCAGGCCTGTTCAGTCATGCTAGTGGCCTGTACACTTACTTCAACCCAACTGACACTGTCATTTGTCTCACTGCTGCTGGAGGAGGTAGAGAACATCTCTAGAGATGATGCTGCAGGGAGCCTTTCTATAGAACCACATGAAACTCCTGGTCCTGCCATAACTGAGGCTACTGAGTGGCCTCTACCCTCACCTTCCCAGAACCACACTTCAGCAGTACAAAAACAGTGGTGGCTGATGACGGATGAGGGCAGAGATGGGTCTTTGCTTTGGGAGATGCTGCTCCTGTAGGCTTGTGCCATCCATATTGGTTCCCAAAGGCTGAATAAAGTGTGCTACTTGTTATTTCAGGAAATACTGGGTGCCCTCAGAAGGCACAAGGCCATGTTTGTGGTGCCTTGTATGAAGCTCTCTCAGGAGACCTTCATGCTGGGATGTCACACAGCCATAGTGGGTTCAGGACAGATGAAATAATGGTGACTTTGAGCTGCGCAGAAACTCAGAAATGCTGAGATCCAACAGCAAGATACTGCATGAGTGTGGGAAATGGCAAGCTAGGTTGCAAGGTTCTCAAACAGCTCCAGTTACCCTTCTCTTCCTTTCCTTCCACCTTCTTTTTTTAACCCGTAGAAACCTGTGTCCTTTACTGGATTTTGCTACAGAGGATTTCTCTGCAGACTCCATGTATTGTTCCCATTCACACCTGGACTCTTTTTGCCCAGTTCTGCCACAGTGCATTCCTTTTCAGTCACGTCTCATCACTGCAACTTTTTCCCTCAGAGAGATCCTACTGTTTGACATCTTTGCCAGCATTTAACTGGCCATTAACCCAATGAGCCAGGTTCTGATCTCATTTACTTCTGCAAATTCAATAGAGTTCCTCTAGACTTATACTGATGTACATGAGAACAGATCCTGTCCCATTTAATTTGCACTACTGCATATTTGCTAAGTGCTAACTGCCTGGTTGGCTCAGTGCAGCATGCAGAGGACAAAAGGACTTGTGCGTAACAGGGGCTGTTACCTTCCAGATGCTGTTTGCACAGGGCAATATGTTTCTGGTCTGGCCCCTCCCACAGTGCTCCTACACTACTCCCAAATTACTGAGAGCTTTTTTTTTCTTTAAACAGCTTGTTAACTTCAAGGTGTCTTGCTGGCTTATGTGCAATCTGATTTAAATGTCAACATGATGTTAATGTTTAACAGCTATCACTAGAAGGTTCTCATAGCTCTTCCTTCAGAGTTACAAAAAAGCCCAATATCTACCTGCTCCTTAAGTTCTATTGTCGGTTCAAAGCAGGCTCAGATGATATGTTGGACCTTTATCAGTTATCCCCTGCATGGTCCTTGGCACGTGATTGCCCTGAAATATGCTTTCCCTGGGCACCTTCCAAGTTTCTCCACTTGCAGTCTTCTCATAAGCTACAGAGAACATGTATTTTGCAAAACAAGAAATAGGAAAACAAAAACTAGGAGGATTAAAAAATAGCCCAAATGATTTAATTTTAATTCCAAAAATACGTGGGGCCCCTGACATTTCCCACAGATGGCTCCTTTCTCTGTGGCACAGAGAGGATATATTTTAAACGGTAATGTTAATGGAATTATATGTTGCTGCTGGATAATTGTCTGCTGTGAAGAGATAATTGTGGAGGCAAAGCTGAGGTATTTATTGAAGATAAACACTGAGGCAAAGCCAAGATGTTTATTTTCTAAGCACCAGACTGAAATGCAGGCAAAACATATAATATCATTAGCATTATTTCTAATACACTGGAAGCCTGAACATGCCCCATCACAAACTCTTGTGAACTCGGGGAGGGCATAACTGGGCACCAAATGATCCAAACATCAGCGCTGTGGGGCTCTGTTGATCGTGTCATAGGCAGCAATACTCAAGTGTTGTTCACCTTTGCTGGTGCTGGTCCTTCCATAGCTCAGGAAACTAGCAGAAATGCTGTGTGGAGACCTGACCTCTCCCTGATAAAATTTAAGGAAGACCTGATTTCTTAACCAAGGATGGCTCAACAATAGGTTAATACACAACATTTGCTGATCCTTCAGACTGTTTGAGGTAAGTGAACCATGGAAAATACGACCAGCTTGTTGTCAGGCCATTATTCTACAGTTTTCAAAAGTAAATTTTACAGATACCTGGGAATAATTCACGCACATACTGTGTGTGAGCATTTGCAAAGTACAGGTCTGTACAAGCACGTGGGCAGCTTCAAGAAGCAGCAGGGTCTGTATCATGTGTTAAGGGAGCAACATGGGTGCTATGCTATGTCTGGGCGGCATCTGCAGCTGTTGCAGCGTGTTTGGAAACAGCAGAGCTCTCCTGGGCTCATGCTGCTGCAGGTTTTATTCTGTGCATGTCCTGAGCAGCCTGAGAGCTGTGGCCCTGTTTGGCTGTAGGAGTCAATCCGAGCTGATGTTGGGTACCCTTACGTCCTATCCACCCCACTCTGTACCTTGCAGCAGTGCTGAGAAGGATCCCAAGTAGAAGTTTTTGTCTACTTTGATAGGTACAAAAATCCGAGTTGGCTTTTTTTTTACTGTGTTTCTGCCCAGGGATGGATGCAGGTCCTTTAAGTGGTAATATTTAAACATCTAAGGAATACATTGGTCATTAGGCACCTGGACACACACCCACAAGCTTGGGCATGACTCCCTAAGCCCAAAGCAGACAGCAACATCCTTGAGCACTGATTTATTTGAACTTACTGATTTCAGATTGGCTGTAAAGTGAGAACATGCATGACAGTAGAAACTTCTCACTACTTTTCTACTTCTGAAGACTGCTACTAAGATTCATTTTTTAAAAGACAACTGAAAATTAGGCCCAAACATACCTACCAAATATATATGACCTGAATTTCAATAGGCACCGAGGATCCAAAGTCATATGTGCAAAGGTGTATGTGCAGCAGCAGAACAAATAAAAAGTTTTGGGATCTCCATCCATTTAAAGAAATTAAACTATAAGAGCAGTGTAGACTTTCCATTTACATACTGATGTAGAAAAAAAAAAAAAAAAGAAGAAAAAAGGAAAGAAAAAGAAAAAGGACATGTAGTTCTCCTATACTTAAACTATGATTCCATTATACCTGTCACCAGCACTTTCTCTACTAAACCTGAAGCCCATCATTGTCCCAAGAACCACGGATTTGGTTAATCCTGCTCCTGAGGGACTAAGTGCCTGCAACTGCGTGTCACCCACTGCTGACGGGCTGTGCTCTGCAGTATTTCCCTTTCTATTTGCTTTGTGGGTTTCCCACAGGCAGGAGTTGGTGACCCCCCAGACCTTGCTTTGTGGTACTGCTGGGATGCAGCCAGGACCAACGCAGAGGAGTTTGCTATGGCACAGGCTTGCTCTGTGGATACAGCCATTCTTACTGCAAGCTATGAATTCATCCAAATTGTTTGCGAGGCTCTTTACAATGTTTGAGTGTAAAAAAAATTGGCAACCACAGAAATGCCAAAGGAACATAATGTAATTCATATTTTTACAGCAAGTGCTATGAGGTAAGTTGACCTGATTACAGAATAGTGCATTTCTAGCTATTCCTTCGGCTTTGGCGTACTCCCAGAAGGGTTGTAATTTTGATTTTAGTTCTTCACTGGAAAGGCTATATGACAAGTAAATATTAATTATTATTAGTTGTATTTTGATAACGTTAAAGATCTCCAACAAGTTCAGCAATGTTCACTATATACTCACATACATGGAGTCACCCTTGTCCCAGATGAGCTATGATTTTCAAAGGAATCTAGGTAGAAAGATACACTGTAAATAAATAATTAAATAAAAAACAACAAAAAAACATCAAGAGATTACAAGTGTCAGGTTATCCTCACGATTTTGTTATTTTATGTCCATAGTACTGGAGATTTGTTAAATGTGAATAAGAGGGATAAGGAGGGAAGCAAGGAAACACACATAAGTATCTATACACATATATCTACCTAGAAATGCTCTCACACATAGAAGACAATCTGGTCATTTGGATTTGTTTAGGAATACACATATGTTCAAGTGCTCATAGTCACAGTGTCGACACAAGGATGAGATGTAATGGCTTTAAGTTGTGCCAGGGGGTGGTTCAGGTTAGACATTAGGAAGCATTTTTTTCTCAGAAGGAGTGGTGAGGCATAGGAACAGGCTGCCCAGGGAGGTGGTGGAGTCACCATCCCTAGAGGTGCACAAGAAATGTGTGAATGTGGCACTGAGGGACACGGTCAGTGGGCATGTGGGGATGGGTCAGACTAGATAATCTTAGTGGTCTTTTCCAACCCTAATGATTCTATGATTCTAAGTGAAATTATTCAGAGAGGCTCAGCAATGATGTTACAAAACAGTCATGGTGTGACCTAACATCTGCTCTGTAGGTCCAAGCAGCTCCTCTGTGACAAACCTGACTATGCAGCTCAAGCAGAAATCTGCAGATATGCTCTCAGAAATGCTATACTTTCCCTGGCTTTTCTGGCTTGCTGCTTTTCTTACAGTCTGAGTTCTACTTAGCTTCTAAGAAGTAATTCCACACCAAAATGATTATTTTTAATGTGTATAATCTGGCTGCAGGAAACGTGCAAATACAAGATTTCAATGCCTTTTCCTAATCCTTCCTATTTCTTTTAAATCTCAATTTGCACCAAGCCTAGAGTGTGACAAGCAGGAGAGCTGCGGCTTAGTGTACAAATGGCAGGACATTTCCTATCTGCACACTCTTCCTCATATTCTTCACCTTGGCACTGTAGTAACTGATGAACTACTTCTGTAATGATGAATGCATTGAGAAAACAAATTCACAAGAACTATAGCATAAAAATAAAAGCCTCATGGGTATTTGGTAGTGATCTGAATTGCAGACTGTGTGACTGCTTGCTATCTCCTGCATCATCTGTCTCTGTCATGTATTTGACAACACATGTTTTGTCAAGTCAAAGAGGCCTCCTTAGAAAGAAAGGGATGATAGTATTATTGCCCAAGCAGGATCCTCTGCGTATAGTGATGAGGCAGTCAAACTTCTTTCAAGTTTGACACAACACAATTCACGTGATGTTTTTCAGAAATTAGTTTTAAACTGTTTATATGAGTAAATGCATTTGCACATAAGGATATTTAGCAAGTTGGTCTGCTTTTGAGAAATCTCAGGATTGATTTAATGCCAACTGCTTCAGTGAACTCAAGTAGATTTGAAAAGGAAAACTGTAATTACTAGATTACCTGGTGCTATAATATTCAGTATTATTGTAATGAGGGATGAAAGAAACATGGTGTAGGACTGAGGAACCTCTGCCTTCTAAACAAAGCTTCACAGAGGCTTTAGTTAGGTACTTAGCAGAAGGCAGTTGGATTCATTTTAGGACACTTATGTAAGTACTCTGACAACATTTTGTCTAAACCTTTCTGCATCCACACCCCATAAAGTAAATGCAAGTCTTGCTCTCTATTCCCAAACTGCTTAGATGGAAAAAATATGAGTAAAACCAGTTCTCACGCTGGTGTGACTGATGCACTGTAACATAGATTGTTGATTTGCAGTTTGCACTGCAAATAGTTCCTATGGGCACTGTATTCTGTTCTGTGTAGGCTCCCCTACACAGTCAAAGAATCACAGAATCATAAAAATTGGAAAAGACCACTAGGATTATCTTGTCCAACCATCAACCCATCACCACCATTAATGATCAATCCTAAATACTGCTTCAATGCTTTCTCTGCAACAACCCTTCTTGGACCTTCTAAGTGAGAAAAACTGCAGTAGGATAAGTAAAATAATACCAGGTTGGTTACTAGAAACAATTTCTTCTTGGAAAGAGTGGTAATGTGTTAGAACAGGCAATAGAGGGAGGTGGTGGAGTCAGTGTCCCTGGAGATGTTCAAGAAATGTGTAGATGTGGCTCTGAGGGACATGCTTAGTGGGCATGGTGGTGATGGATTGACGAGCGGACTAAATGGTCTGACTAGCCTTTTCCAACCTCAGTAATTCTGTGATTCTGTGAAATAGTGGGAGCAGAAAGTTCTGTGGTTTTTGGTGGCCTTTAGCTTCTCAGAAAGTTAATTCTGCAGATTCAGAGCTCTAAAAAAAGTTCTGTCTCCTTCCCACGTGAATATTTACTTACCACAGAGATTGCTGTATCTCAGAGGACTGTGGCCGTGAGCATCAAGACTGATCACAGACTTCACTCTGCAGCTCTCAGTGGCCTTTACTGTGGCTGCAACATGAAGAGGCTGAATTGGATCTGAAGAGCTCTGAGGCTCACCTAGACAATAGTGGCCATGTATGGCTGGCAACACAGTAGCCTCAGACTCTGCAAAAAAATGCTTTCCTCCAATGGCTTTAAATGGATTTTATCATACGCTGAAAGCCCGCTAATCACAACTCAGGTCAACAGGCAATTTAATGTAGATTTTAATAAGAGTATGTTTGAGTACCCATTGTGTATGCCTGTTCTTCATCAATGCATGAATACTCTGTTCTCTGGTTTTGAAAAAAAGTCTATTAATTATGTGAAACACTGAGCCCAGCCCAAACATGAAAAGGACTTGTAGCTCGCTTTCTCGCTGGAGGGTTGTTTGATGAATCTGATGATCTATGAGCTACATTATGCATGATCATATACTTTGTCCTTAACGTTTGTTGGATTGCATACATGTAAATCTGAAATCATTATGATTCCCATAATTCTTCCATACATTCTCTGTTGCAAAATTCATGCTTCAGGTAAAAAAATAAATAAATAAAATAAAAAAAAATTAATAGTAGAGAAATTTTCATTACTGGTATGTCTTGTTAACTGGTGATAAGAGAATGAGGCAGATGTTGATTCTGCAAGTAGAAGGAATGGAAGCAGGAATGAATTAGAGGTGACCAGAGGTGAAAAAGAAAGCACTTTTATGTCATTTTCAACGAGCAGAAGGTAATTAATTGATATTTACTAGAATAATTCATAACTGATTTCAAATGAACATTAACAATTTTGACAGAGTTCACCAAGTGGAGGGGCAATGCCTATTTCTACCAAATTTAAATCTAACATTTCTCACTCCTGAAATTTTCAAAGATTAAATTTTTTACTCTGTACCTCTAATGGAGCTGAAATCATGTAATTAAACGATTAAGAAAAGGTTCGTATGAATTGTCAGCAAAGTGACTTCAAAGTGTGAAAAACTCACCTTATGTTTGAAATCTCCCATTCTCTTGAGCTGTTGTTCAAGCTAATAAGGGAGACAGGAATGAGGAGAATATCTCTTTTTAGAAGGGAGCATCTCACTTTAGAAAATGAAATATTGAAAATACTGTTCTTCATTTTTGACACTCCTTTAAGCACCAGCAGACTCAATGATTTGGACCTATTTGTTTCTCTTCAAATTAATTTATTGGTAGGATTATAGCAGCACTAACTGGTGAATTCTTCTAAGCATCATCAACTGGTAATGACAGCATTTGAGATTGCTTATTTTAAAATACAGTGTATTGTGTAACCCTCTTTATTTGTCTGATGCACAATCTATTTGCTGATACTTGTTCTCCCCCACACCTCCCTCCCTCTCCTTCCCTTAGGCTACCAAACAAAGCTGCCCAACCTTACACTCATCCATCAGTCTTGAGTTATTAAGAGTATAATAACTGCAGAACATTCACAGGTAGATGGGATGGAGTGCTGGCTGCTTTTCAAGAACATAGTCAATGCTACAAAAACTTTGCAAGATGGCTAATTTTCTCATGCTGGCTGTTCTTTGCTCTGCTAGGACCTGCTAGAAGGAATGTTTTCTTGAATTTTGGGTAACTAATATAGGATGCTGCCAAAACTGTCTATCATACCGTATCTAGCACCAAATCTTAACTCTATATTAGTAAAATAACTGTTGTATAGCTATTTCTCAAAAAGGCTTTGTGATACATTGAAGGGAATATCTTTATTGATGACCTAGATGAGGGGATTGAGTGCACCCTCAGTAAGTTTGCAGATGACACCAAGCTGGGAGGTGATGTCGATCTGCCTGAGGGCAGGGAGGACCTTCAGAGGGATTTAGACAGGCTGGATCGCTGGGCTGAGGTGAATGGCATGAGGTTCACCAAGGCCAAGTGCCAGGTCCTGCACTTTGGGCACAACAACCCCATGCAGCGTTATAGGCTTGGGGATGAGTGGCTGGATGAGTGTGAAGAAGAGAAGGACCTGGGGGTGTTGGTTGATGCTCGGCTGAACATGAGCCGACAGTGTGCCCAGGTGGCCAAGAGGGCCACCGGCATCCTGGCCTGCATTAGGAATAGTGTGGCCAGCAGGAGCAGGGAGGTGATCATTCCCCTCTACTCAGCACTGGTGAGGCCACACCTCAAGTACTGCGTTCAGTTTTGGGCTCCTCACTACAGGAAAGACATTGAGGCCCTGGAGCGTGTCCAGAGAAGGGCAACGAAACTGGTGAGGGGTCTGGAGCACAAGTCTTATGGGGAGCGGCTGAGGGAGCTGGGATTGTTCAGTCTAGGGAAGAGGAGGCTCAGGGGAGACCTCACTGCAATCTACAGCCTCCTGAAGGGAGGTTGTGGTGAAGAGGGATTTGGCCTCTTCTCCCAGGCAACGAGCAGGACACCGGGAAATGGCCACAAGTTGTATCAGAGGAGGTTCAGGTTGGACATAAGGAAGAACTTTTTCTCTCACAGAGTGGTCAGGCACTGGAATGGCTGCCAGGGAGGTGGTGGAGTCGCCATCCCTGGCAGTGTTCAAGAGGTGTCTGGATGACGTGCTGCGTGATGTGGTTTAGTACTAGTGGTGACAATGGTGATGAGGAGACGGTTAGACTAGATGATCTTATAGGTCGTTTCCAACCTTGTGATTCTATGATTCTGTGAAGAAAGAGATCAGGATAAGTGGAGGCATCTAAGGTCTTACATGACTCTCTCGAGGATAGGCTTAAATAAATCAATGCACCAAAGTAGAGGTTGTGACTCACAGCAGAAGTGTAACAAGATGGAGGTAAAATGGATGGTTCTAAAGGACATTTTCTCACTGATTAAAAGACAGAGGTTGTGGTAGAGCAGAGTAGCTATGTAATAATCTAAGAATCTGATCTGCAACTTAGGGTGTGCACAAAGACATCTAGGCTGGTGCTGCTCAGTTTACTCTCACAGCCTAAAGAGCTGGGAAATGGACACGTGGTACAGAGACTCTTTGCAAGCCAGCACTGAAACAGAAGCAATATAGCCCTGAGTGCTGTGCCAGCTGAACAGGATTATTCTGCTTCTCAAGTCCCACTTGGCATATCTACACGGTACTTTGCTGTGCTGTGTGGACTTGCCAGATCAGCTCAGTGCTAGGTTGGTCTTCAGCATGTTCTCAGCAATATAAATGTATGTACCCATGGAAATTAAGCTAATCTGCTTGACTTCTGGAAGTGTAAGAGAATGCTTCCTGGCTAGCCAGCATTGCTATAATTAAGTAGGACTGTGGGAAGAACAAAGCATGTCAGTCTGTACAGTGACTTTCCAGACAAGAGTATCCTGGCAGGCACTGAAAAGCTGATTCCTTTGAGCATCCTATATTCTGCTCGAGTGAAAAGCTTCAGGCTCTATTTTGCCAGGATAGACACTCAAAAATTCTATTCCTAGGAGGGAACAGGCAATTGTCAGGAGCTGCCACTGGGCAGAGGATGATGCAGGGAGAGGCTCTGCTGAGGGAGCCTGGAGGAAAGCCAGCATAGCCTTGGTGAGAGGCATGCAGGCTGACTCTAATAGGTATCTCTTCTGTTGTGGGTCCATTTTCTCTGTCCTGTCTTTGTTCTAAGCAAATCAGGCTCTGCTCTTGCAAGGCTGCTTGCTGATGGATACTGCTCTGCTCCCGGAGTCAGAAGAAATGGAGATGACTCAGGACCATGAGGTAATCCTGGGTGACCACAGGAAACCTGAGCTTGGGAGAGTCACAGGGCCCCACTGCAGGAGATGTGGAAGCCAGAGGCCTGGGACAGGGAGAGAGGGGATCTGAGGAGATTGGGAATGTGATTTACACAATTATAATGGTAAAGGCTATGAATTAGCATTTTACAATTCTTCTTTTCTGCACCAGCTCAGGAAACAACCTTTTGGCTACAGCCTTTTGTTTGTAGTCCTTTGTAAATCTGACATATCAGAGGGCTTTTAGTACCAGGAGAAGTAACATAGTTAAACCACTAAAATATGATTGCGTTTCAGCAGTTCCCACACCATCTGTGCTTTCTCTTCTCTAACAGCACTTCTTCACTACCTCACCCAGATACATACAGCCATCAAAATCTTTGCCAGTCCATTTACTGAGCGCCCTCAATATTGGCAGCACAGAGGGCAGTGTTAGGTAAGGTTAACTAAAGCTGCTGTCTGTGAAGACACTTCAGAAATTGAGCAAACAAATACATGAAAAACACAGAAGGTAAAATCCTGTAATAGCCTCTACACAGGAAGCAAGCTGAACAAAAACTAATGGTTCCTTTCCCTTTAGCTGTCATGTTGTCCTTGCTTTTATCAGTTCACTCCATATCCTCTCTCTGTCTGTTCTTCCTACTGCTTATTGTTGTGATGTACATCACACCTGCCATCACCTTGCACCTCCTTGCCTTGCCTTCCGGCTCTCCTCTTCTCCCACTCACTCTCAGTGGCATGTATTTCCATCCTGAGACGACATCTCATTAATTAATCCCTTTGCTTTGCCTTCTTCCTGATGTGTGCTTCAACTCTGGCTCAACCCTTTTAACAAAATCTCTGGTTATCAGCCTGATAATCATCAAATACATTTCCCTTCCTCTTTGCCTTTATCCTTTGCTTTGTTATTTTGTTCTTCCATTACTCCTAGGCCATGGAGTGTGTCAAAGGTTTCTTTGTTCTTTATTTACTTCTTCAGCACTTGTCTTTGAGTTTCTGTATGGCGCTGGCAGCCTGAGTACTCACTATAACCCTGTTTGTTGTCTAAGAAATACTGTTATCACACGAAGAAGCATTGACTGTTCATAAAACAGGGCAGAACTCTGATATGGGGGACAATTTCCTGTCGTCTCCTGGTAGATCTGATTCAGAGAAAAATCAAGTAATTGTTGTCTATTTTCAAATCTTTCTTCTATATGTTAATTTATGTCAATGCCTAAGCAAAACGTTTTTCCTATAATGCTTAGCAAGCACACCTACTATACTGATTATTCTGCTCACTCACTGATTCCTAGGGTAAGTGATCTGCCCAAGCGGCCCAAAAGAAACCTCTTTCCATTTAACTCTCCTAGGTTACCACCAGACCAGAAGCTAAGGCTTCCTTACACTGTTTCTCTGTTGGCTTCTTTTTCAATGAGCTTCTTGACACTGGAAATAGTGGCAAACTCCCAGTTAAAGTTCATAAAACTGCTCCCTCCTAATTACTCCATACCTTTTCCCCTTTGCTGTTATTGTTGCCTCAAAAGCAGTCCCATGTAACAGTGCCTAGAAAGGCTTATGATTTGATGATGTATTTGGGTCACTGTCATCTCATTTTATCACTTCCACCCTTACCTCATGGTTGCCTTATTTGCCTGTTGTGTTTTGTTATAACCTATATCAGAAGTGCTATGGAAGAGGGACTCATCTTTGTGCTCCATGTCTCTCCCCACTTCACAAGGGTCTAAACCAACCCTTGGTTACTCTTACAGACCGGGGCTCAGTGTCCCTGAGCCCAGTCACTAGGCACACAAAAATGCATTTTCTGGGGAACTGGTAGCTGTGCTCTTTAAAAGCACTGCCACTTAAGAAGATGGTAGCACAAAGCACAAAGCAGATGGTATCCTGAGACAGTACTGGGTACACAAGGTGGACACCACCTCTTCCCACACTGGGCACATTCTCCAAAGAGTGTGGTTCTATTTGCTGTGCGCCACGGTGAGCTTGTAACAACCAGGATGGCATGAGGCAGGGTCACAAATGGTCTGATGGACTCAGACAGAGAGATTCTTCACTTGTGAATCCTGAAAGCTTTGTATGGTATAAGCATCAGGAGCTCAGTGCAGCTAATGAGGTTGTATCTCTGGTAACTGTCAGCATTACATTTATTTATTATTGCCAACAGTATCCTGGACTTCATCAAAAGAGGGACAGCCAGCAGGGAGAGGAAGGTGACTGTCCTCCTCTGCACTGCCCGCATGAGGTCCCATCTGGAGTTCTGCATCCAGTCCTGGGGCTCCCAGTACAGGAAGGATGTGGAAATGTTGGATGGAGTCCAGAGAAGGGCCAT